AAAAAACATTTTCTATTTAAAATAACGATTGAATTTTGATTCAAATTTAAATATAATTAATATTTATAAAGCGGGCGGTTAAAGCGCCCCCAGAAGATCATACGGTATACTGAATGTATCAATGTATGTGTTGTATAGTTGTTTGTATATACGTGCATATGTAGTGTAGTCAGCAAAGAGGATCAAATTTTGATCCTCTTTGGCAGTTAGTTTTGGTATGTTTGAAGGGTGAATGGTGTATTGGAAATGTTTACAAAAGATGAAAGAAGTATTAATATTTTAAAGTAAAATAAAGTTCATTTAAATTCTGTTGTGATGACAACATGTGGAGTAATTTATAAAGCTGCGATTGAATGTATTTAGAGTGAATGTAAACAAACAAAATTTTGTAGGTTAAGATAATATCTATAAACTTGTATAAATAATCGAATCTTCAAAATTTATTACGTCTTAATCTATTTTTCAACAAGATAAGAAACATGCCACATTTTGTTCGCGACAAAGACGACACTGTATGTATTATTCTATAATTTCATCTAATAATTTATTGTAAACCTCTACTATAATAATATCTTTTTTCATTAACAGACACAAGAGATGAATGATATTACTTCTGATTTCGCTGGCCTTAAAGTGTCAGTTTTAAAAAAAGCTTCGCTTATATCAAGCAAAGTGGGCAGAATTACAATAGGTCCTGCTTTTACAATGATTCAAAATACAGATGAGAAATCAGAAAATATAGAAAATGAACAGAATTCTTGTAATATTACACCTTCTCAAAAAACTAACCATCTAAAAAGTAACAAAATATCTATGCAAAGTGGTATTACTTTTTCTGTAAAAAAAATTCTTTTAGAAAGCGAATACCAGAGAAAGGAAGAAGTTCAGGTAATGTAGATTTCTTTGTAAATATAAATATAAATGTAGCAATCGTGACATGTTGATTATAAAATGTGTAAAATATAAATTCCTGTACTTAGAAAGAAATTGAGCATCGTTGGCAGCATATGAATGAAGAAGAAAAAGACATAAAGAAACGTAAAGAAAATTCTCGGTCACATATGGCAAAAGAACGTGAACGTAAAAGTAAAGAAAATTACGAATATATATTAGCAGAAGAAAAAAAAGCAGAGCAGGAAGAACTACGAAAAAGACATGAACAACAAAAAGAAGTCGAGGAATACAGAAAAAAAATGATAGAAAAACAAGATCTTACCAAATTAATAATGAATTTGAGAAATATGTTTAAAACTAAGTATGGTACTATTGTTATGGCTGCTCAAAACTGTGATGATGTAAATTCTGTTCCTATCCTGTTCTCGTCCTGTGGACCAAAATTAGATGAGCTATTTCAACAAGTGTGGGTTATAGATGAAAAAATTATGGTAAGAAATAATTTGATAAAATTCTGTGGAAAGATATTGAAAGAACATGAACTTTATAATTGTGTGTTCCATACAGACAGGAGATGTGACATCAGCTGACGTCACTGCTATGAAAAAATATGTTCAACAGATGAATGAAATACTGTGTATAGTTAAAGCAGAAATTGGTAAGGGATTAATTATATTTGTTTTTGCACATAAATTTAAGAGATTTTATCTTTTGTTTGATACAATTCTAGAAAGGATAAACACTGCATATACAGCCAATTTAGTTAATAACGAAGCCTCAAAAGAAACTCAATTACAACCCGAAATTTTGGAAATACCAACACCTAATATTACTCACACTAGAGCTGAGTTAATTGCTCCACAAGTTGACAGCAGCGCTATCCAAAATAGCGAAAACAAACATGAAGATAAAGAACAGCAACATGTACAATCTGTAGAGAACATAACTTCTTTGAACATTCCATCGGTAATTGTAGCACCTGCCCAAACTGAAGAAATAGCTTCAACAGATAAGCAGAGTGAAAGCACATGTGAGTTTGATAAATACATATAATAACTCATACTTTGAATACATGCCTATTAAACAGATTTTTTTCATTTATAGCTCAATTATATGAATATGTTGACAAAGAATTATTGCAAATGTACATAAATAGTAAACAATTTTTGGAAAATTATGTGAAAAGTTACGATGAATTTTTACAGTCTGCAAGCACAAAAAAGTTCAGATTCGAATGTCAAAAAGCAATAAATATACCTGTAAATGCAATTTCTGGTATTAGCAGACAACACTTATATGATAAATATGAAAGATTAAATAGTCTTCTTAAAGGAGAATCTTCTCCAAATGTTAACCAATATCCTCAAGGTGCAGCGTTTTGTAAAAATATGTTGGCTAAAGAAATAGTTGTACGTAACTTTCTTTAATTCATAAAATATGTGCTAAACCTTTTACAATAATTTGGTTGATATATAACGCATGTCTTTTTATAGAATCAAGGTGGAACACTTGTTTCAAGTAAACCCAAAATGGCATTTCCAATTGCTGCAGTAGTTGTAGCTATTTGGAACGATCACTACGATTTTGGAGATTTGCTTTTGTCACATTTTCATGATACTTGCCCATATATTGTGCCTGTGTTTTTACCCGAAATGGAAGGACAATCGAATGAAGATTATTATAAATTGATGGGCTATAAATATGCGAAAGATGGTACAGTCGAGAAACAAGATAAATTTTTGAAAAGAATGTCCGGCTTAATGAGATTGTATGCTTCCATTACTATCACATCACAGCGAAAAGGAATTAATAAGACCAATCCACATGGGCTTCAATATGCGTGGCGATGGTTGGCTGCTGTTTTAAATATTGGTAATTATTATATTAAAAAGAAATAAATGTATATACAAAAAAATATATATATATATAAAAATATATAAAATTATATTCTAGAACCGCGGACAGAAATAGCCGATCTTTGTGCAACTCTCTTATTAGATATGCTTGAAGTTGCTGGAAATGCACTGTGGACTGCATACCCACGCCAATTTTATAAACTTCTGATTTTACTTTCGGATGAATATCACTCACGTATTCAAACTGTAGGAAACATTGGCGGTGGCCCATTAGTACGACTTCAAGAATTTTTGAAAAACAGTTTAACAAAAGGTTTTATACCACAACCTGATGGTCAGCTTTCTCCCAATTTCTGGTGATTACTACTCGATATAAGGTGACTTACATCTTAATTGTTATGGGAAATGTAGCAAGGATTTGTAAATTACTATAGATTTATATATATTATATTGTAAGATAGATTTGTCTGAACTACTTATTGTCACTAATGCCTAATTTCATATTGAATGAATAGGACATTGATTAAATTGATTAAACAATCAAGATGATAAAAAATTCCCAGAAATTGCTTAGTTTGACAATA